GAACCCACGGCCTCGGCGCTACCAGCGCCGCACTCTCCCGAGTGAGCCACGGGGCCGGCCCTCTAAATGGAGAATCTAGGATTCAAGAACCAGTTTGGTCCTCTGCACCTCCAAGCTCAGCTGCCTGGGAAGAGAAGGGCCAGGTAGGGACCTAAGACGTACACAGAAGACCTCCGATCCAAAAAACTCCACAGAAGGCCCTAAGGCCCAGATAATTTCTAGGCAGAAAGATTTCACCCTCTCCCGTGGTTGTTTCTTCCGTGGCTGGCCACAGAAGGCTGCTCCACATCTACCCCTCCTTGTGCACACTAAGCTTTTTGATCCCATTATTTATGGGAATGACAAACAGTTGTCCACCTCGCCTTGAAGTATTTAGCCCTCACACCCAAACAAAATGGCTTGGGCATCTCTGGCAGTGAGGGCATCAGCCATGGGAGCAAAAGCTTGGCTGGGCAAAGTATTCACTACTATTTATTTAACATAATCTACACAATCTCCCTCTTAATATATCCTTGAGAAAGGTACCAACTGACCTATCTAAGTCATACTCCCAGTCATGGGAAGAGCTGTCCTAGTCCAGTGCTCTCTTCACTATGCCATGGTGCCCTCAGAAAGCTCAGCCTCAGCCATTAGAGGCAATTACTCATGATCCAGGACAGCCAGATGGGTACTTAGACCCTTTGTTTTTATCCCCTTTCCTGTCCCCAGCTGGACAAAAGACAACCTGTGGCCAGGGTCTGGAGGGGTGCTGGGAGCGCCCACCCCCTCTCGATGAGCCCCAGAGGGATGGAAGCTCCGAGGACCAAGGAAGACCCAGCACTAAGTGGTGAGACTTGAGAGTAGGGGATGGGAAGGAGGGGCTGGGATCTTGGTGGGCGAGGCCGGGCTCTGAGTCCCTCTTTGCTTGCCTTACAGAGCCAGGGGAGGAGCCTCAACACCCTGCTCCCCCTGAGCCTGGCACATAGATTACCCAGCCCTGCATCCCCCAGGAGGAAGTGGAGGGGGCATCGCTGTACCCCAGAAACCCATTCTGTCCTCACCCTATTTTGTACCCTTCCCCTTACCCGCTAGGGCTGCGGCTTCTGACTTATAGAAGACTAAGGCTGGTCTGTGTTTGCTTGTTTGCCCACCTTTGGCTGATGCCCAGAGAACCTGGGCACTTGCTGCCTGATGCCTACCCCTGCCAGTCGTTCCCCCATTCACCCAGTGGGAGGCCGGATGTGAGAGAGCCTGCATTGGAAAATGCAGAAAACTAGGAACAATGACTCGACCTTCACAATTCTACTCCCCAGATCCTCTCCCCTGGGCACAGGAGACCCACAGGGCAGGACCCTAAGATCTGGGGAAAGGAGTTATTGAGAACCCTTAGGTGCCCTCAGATCCTTCTCTATTCCCTCTCCTATGGGAGATTGCAAGTCACCACCCCTTTCACCGGCTTCTACCAGGGCCCAGGACTCAGGCGTCCTTCTCCACAGCCTCAACATTTTGTAAATCTTCCCCTTATCACCCCTGCTCCTCCTGGGTGCCTGGATGATAGACTGGCAGAGGCTGCTTTGTCGCGTTTTGTTTGTGCTTTCATGCCAGGAATGCCGCCTAGTATACGTCCTTGGGGGAAGGGGAGCCCAGTGGGGGAAGCCAGGTTCTCCCTGTCCTCCAGCAGCTCTGCTCCCTTCCCCTTCTTCCCTGACTCCAGGACTGAACCCCTCCAGTGCTGTAATAAATCTTTGTAAATACTGTGCTGAGATTCCTCTTTCAGGGGAGGGCGGAGGGGAAGGGAAGTAATGGGGTATTGTGATATGGAAGGTTGGTAGTCATCCAAGGATCAGGGCCTTGACCGTAGTGTCCAGTCCTCTAGAAGTCTTTCCTGCAGACCACAGGCTCGGGGCACTCTTAGGCAGGACCAAAGAAGTTCTAGCTCTTGTTAGGGATGGCTGAAAGAGGCGGGGGTGGGGTCGGGGGGAGAGAAGTCCTTCCAGACCTATTGTGGATGCCTCCAAGGGACCTGTCCTCCGCCCCTACTTCCCTCCCCTCAGGAAGTTTCCCTTTTTTCCACAGTGCCGGGCTTGTGTAGCCCCCTGACGACGTCGCCCCTGGGCTTCTTCCCAATTCCCCCACCCTTAGGAAGGTGCTCCATGCCTAAGTGCAGCCGTGCGCCTCACTCCTCTAGGGCT